ACGGGGTTTCTGGGGGGGGCCTCCCCCCCCCCCCAAGGGGTGGGGGGGGGGGGGGGGGGGGGGGGGGGGGGGGGGGGGGGGGGGGGGGGGGCGCACGCATAGAGTACAAAATCAAGTCTGCATTGGGTAGATTGTGTGGGGGTGTGGGTGCACACTGCACACGTAGAGTGAAGAATTGAATTCGTGTGTATGTGGGTATGTGCACACGAAGTGAAGAATAAAGTTGCATGGTTAGATGGGGTGTGTGTGTCGGTGTGTGCACCTAGAGTGAAGAATTGCATTTGAAAGTAGACACAGAGTGAGAGACAGGAGGCTAGAGTAGGGAAGTTGTACCGGCGGACTCGTCATAGCTTAGGGCTACTATCTGTTGTTGTATTGATTCGTGGAGGTGTGAAGATGGCTTTCATTACCAAGGCGCTTCAATGTTTGTCGTGTTCGTGGATTGGTGTGCTCTCGGCCTTGTCAATCTGTTGATTCTGTTTTCACTTTCGTCTACTCATCATGTATGGTCTTCAATGAGTTCTTCTTGCTGCTCCAAAGCTTTTTTTTTTCCGTGCTCTCACATGCTGTTTCCTTTGCGTAAGTGTAGAAAGGAGAGAGATGAGAGAGCGAGAGAGCGAGATTTGAGAAGCCGGGAAAACCTTTTGGACTGCAGATTTGACGGGTGGCAGTGGCTATGATGAAAGAGTATATGTGACGATGCATCGCTCACTGCTTCTTGTGGTCTAACCAGAGCCATTCATATTCGCTGTTCGCTTCGCATCACCTCGCATTGCATCGACCTCTTGGCTTTGAGCAGCATGATACCAAAGCTTGCGCAAAGCATTGTGTGAATTCTTATTTTCGTACTCTCCTGCTGCTAATGTTGGACTGTGGACAGGTGGATACAGTTTCCTTTTCGTTTTTTTTTTGTTTTTTTTTTGTAGGAGAAGTTGAAGAAGCTCAATGCTGTGAAACCGCGCGTTCATTGAATGCGCGTTTCACATTTATTTTTTAAACGCTTTGAACGTGCGTTCAATAAACGCGACTGCACGTGATGAACACATTTGCGGTTGGTCACGGAAGGGGTGGGCGGCACCGGGGGAGCGGTCCTTGGGGGTCTGGGAGGGGTGCGGGCCACCACCCTGCCCCTGGAACACAAAAATAACGAAGAAAGACGAGAAAAAAATTCTAAAAAAACAAAAAGAAAAACCAAAAAAAAAAACAAAAAAAAAACAAAAAAAAAAACCAAGAAAAAAAACGAATAACAAAAGTCAGGGGCCCTCAGCCCCCACCCAGGCCAGTGTGCATAAAGGGATCGGGCTGTTGGAACAGCCCGTGCAGTCGTGTGTGCCGTTCGAGCAGCCCAGCGCCCTCCGTGCACACACGCGTTCAGCAAGAGAGAGAGAGAGAGAGAGAGAGAGAGAGAGAGAGAGAGAGAGAGAGAGAGAGAGAGAGAGAGAGAGAG